TTCATTATCCTCTACATTGTTTCATGTATAAACTTGTTGAAGTATAAGCTCACCACAGCTTGAATTTTCAGTTACCTCAGTGTATTGGGGGGCAGTGATCTCTTCATGAAATTTGTATTTTCCAAAGTCAGAGTACTCTCAAGAATATACCTGTGATGGCAGTAGGATTATATATGTGTATATAAAAATATAAATTGTGACCCAGGAGACAGAGACAGGGAGTCAGAAAGTTACATATTTGTTAATTTTGAAAATTCATGGAGAAATAAATGGAGAAAAATGTGTGAGAGGTTTTATAATATGTATCTCTGATGAAGCCAAAGGCAAGTCCAAGTAAACACCGTGCCTCCTGTCAAATGCCTCTACTTCTAGTCCTTTAGGAGTATTTTTATCAATGTTATGATAAGGTGTCAGAGTCTAGGTGGTTATGGGTTACTGTCAGAGATTGGATATTTCAAATGGCAAAATGAAAAATGGGTCTAATATATATGCCAACACGTGCCACATAAAAATCTTCCACTGTCATTCACCACAATGCATTGACATTACTCTCACCCCAAATAAGACACAATGAGAGGAGAAGAGGAAACAAATCTGTGAATATATATCTGGAATTAGAAATTCTGAGGAGCTCACAAACTTGGGTGTGGCAGAAGAGATCCCAAAAGTAGAGGCAGGGTAAACAAACCACAATCATGGAACTTTGCTAGCCTAATAACTTCTTGACTATCTGCCTCTGACATTTCTGCCCTAGAAATATAGCTTTGTGCTTTAGCTTCCTTTGCAGTGAGACCATGAAATCTTGGTCTCAGTCTATGTGAACAGAAGGACATGGTTTCATATTTTCTAATACCAGCAGAAGGCAGCAGAGCTGAATCCTCTCTTTGTAGCTAACTGTGGCCATGGGGTATGAATGTCTCGCTGGGTGGATTGTGAAGCCTTTGGCTCACCCTCCAGTTTAATGGCATTTCTTGCAGCTTCCCAGGAAAATTGGTGGGTTTCTTTTTTAAAAAACATAAAGGTGAACTGGGACACGGTGCTGGAGGGAGCTTTGTCACCACGTGGGGTGGTTCAGGGTCTGAACTAAAAAACACAAACTTGGCTGCTACCCCATATATCTTTCCCCCTTGAGCATAGCAACTTGATTCTGAGCATCGCACCAAATCCTCTCCCAACAACAACATGCCTTTTTATTTTAGGGTCTGCTGGCTGCACCTTGTAAGTCACATGTCCTTCGAAGCCAATGACAGAAGCACAGGGGCCCACCACTGATGTTGGTCACACACCTGCACTCCATTGCTCCAGGCCCAGTTCCCTGCTGGCTCCTAATCACTGGCATCTCGGTTCTTCACCATGGTCAGGAATTTCACTCAGTCAAAAATGGCACTCCCTGGTTCAGTCATGATGAGCAACAGGAGATCTAAAGGTTCTCCCGGGATTTCCCGTCTTGCGATTCTCAAAAACTTCATGGTATTGCCCTAGCCATATTTCAAGAATGAAGAAGTTGGCACTGTTTGTTTTGATTCATTCAGGAGCCATTAAGTGTTGAGGAATCTTTGTTCAGTTAAAGCTCTGGAGATCGCATGCAGGCAAGGCTTTTCAAGGAGTGGCGAAAGGTCACAGGAATCCAGGCCCATTGGGGTCTCAAATATGAGGTTCATGTGAGTTTTGGCTCTCAACTAGAGCTGAAAAGGCTTTAACAGCAAAATCATGTAAAATCCTGGCTGAGATTCCCAGTAGTCTGGAGAAAGCCACCCTCGGCCTAGATCTCAGTTTCCTAAGGCTCCTCTAATGCCTGTCCTTGGAAAATCCCAACACGATTCATGGCAAGAGTTCTCTGAGCTTATTTCCAGAACTCAGTCTGTAATGGCATCACACCAGAGTTCAAGCTGAGGTAGACCCAGTCATCTTTTCCAACCACCACACAAAAGACCACTATTCTAAGAAAAACACTTCCACATGGGCCTTGTCTTCTTCCATACAGACACTCATAATAGCATTCTGGCTCTGGGTTTTCATAGGGGGAGCAGTCTAAGATGGTGTGCAAAGTAAGCTCTCATGCCCATCATATGCCGAATGTCATGGTGGCCTGGACACGCTTCCTGAGAAACAGGATAGATAAAATGGGCCTCTATTTAATACTCCTCTGCTTCTCACATTAGAGGCCTCTTGCCTGCCAGGGGTAGATTCTTTATGCGTACTGGACTCATGAAGAAAACCAAACACCTGTGTGCTAGTTTCTGGAGGGCTTGCAACAACTCATTTGACCCAGAGGATTCCTGTTCTGACTTCATAGAGGTCAGGAGCCTGACCAGAGGAAGGCAAGAGACTTCATCCAATATTACACTTCTTTTTCATGCTTTTAGATTTGGATGGACACATGGGATTTTTCTTAACTTTCCTTGGGTGCTTAGAATATACTTCACAGCCACACACAGGGCCAAGAGTCTGATTCAGACACAGCTTTTACAAAGCACTTTACCTAAAAGGCACAGATAAGGCCTCTTCATTTCCATTTGAAACTGTTTTCTGGAGGATTCCCAAAAAAGGGCCTGAAGGCAAACACCTCCCTGACATTCAGGGGAACAGAACAATGGGGAGGAAAGAAGCCTGGAGAAATACTTTTCTTTAATTGAACACTGTGGCACTGACAGTTCCTAATCATGCAACTTGGGTACTATCTATCCAAGCAGGGATTCTCCAGAGAGATCCTTACCAGTCATGCTAATTTTTGACTTTTCTGAGATGCTTGGCATTCCCTTCAGCAATCCAGTCCATGGCCATGTCACAAAGCTTGATGGTGGTACACATCTTGGACACAAAACCAGGAAACCCTTCAGAGAGCAGCCAAAATTAAAGAAGAATACAGGAACTTAGGATCTTGGTAGGTGTTGCCCATCTGCAAGGCAAGCAGCAGTCCATTCATAAATTGGCCATGAGGAGTCCTGCAAAG